CGGTGGTGGTGGTCCTGGCGGGTACGGTCCGAATGGTGGAGGTCCGAATGGAGGCAACGGAGGAGGACCGACTGACAACGGTGGTGGTGGTCCTGGCGGGTACGGTCCGAATGGTGGAGGTCCGAATGGAGGCAACGGAGGAGGACCGACTGACAACGGTGGTGGTGGTCCTGGCGGGTACGGTCCGAATGGTGGAGGTCCGAATGGAGGCAACGGAGGAGGACCGACTGACAACGGTGGTGGTGGTCCTGGCGGGTACGGTCCGAATGGTGGAGGTCCGAATGGAGGCAACGGAGGAGGACCGACTGACAACGGTGGTGGTGGTCCTGGCGGGTACGGTCCGAATGGTGGAGGTCCGAATGGAGGCAACGGAGGAGGACCGACTGACAACGGTGGTGGTGGTCCTGGCGGGTACGGTCCGAATGGTGGAGGTCCGAATGGAGGCAACGGAGGAGGACCGACTGACAACGGTGGTGGTGGTCCTGGCGGGTACGGTCCGAATGGTGGAGGTCCGAATGGAGGCAACGGAGGAGGACCGACTGACAACGGTGGTGGTGGTCCTGGCGGGTACGGTCCGAATGGTGGAGGTCCGAATGGAGGCAACGGAGGAGGACCGACTGACAACGGTGGTGGTGGTCCTGGCGGGTACGGTCCGAATGGTGGAGGTCCGAATGGAGGCAACGGAGGAGGACCGACTGACAACGGTGGTGGTGGTCCTGGCGGGTACGGTCCGAATGGTGGAGGTCCGAATGAAGGCAACGGAGGAGGACCGACTGACAACGGTGGTGGTGGTCGTCCGGTTGGTTACAATCCAAACAACGGAGGTCCGAACGGATTTAATAGTGGAGGGAAAGCCCCCGGGTCTGGTGAACCTGGTTCGAGCCCAACAAAATGTCCGTGTCCTCAGTGTCCATCTGTTTATCGCCCACTGCCCGCTGGCAAATCTCCCTCATCATCGGATGGGCCAGGGACTCCGCTGACCCCCAATGCGGGTTCCGTTGGGCCATCAAGAACGTCTAACAGCGGCGGGTATCTAAATCCTGCTGCGGGACGTTCCGTCACCCAGGTGGCACCGATCAATCGCGGGACAAATGGTGAGCTTATTTTTGCATTATTATTTCATGTTGTTTCATCATTATTCTGTTGAAAGTTTTCAATTTTCCGGTACCGATAAACTTTCTGACGATGGTATCTACAAACTGTTGCTTATTTTTTTATATCAAGTTTAAGTAAAAGACTAATTTGTCATTTCCGTCATGATGATTGGATTTCTCTTGACCGAATTCCAGTTGGAACGCCAATCGACATTGTTTTAGACGCGTAGCGGAACACAAGAAATTCCGTTATCTGTTTCCAAAGTTAATAATTACGTACTATTTATTTATAACCGATTTTAAATAAACCGTCTGGGGTATTTTTTTTATTTATCGAAAAATTCGAATTTTGTTATGATGTCTTCAGGTTAATATTAGTATTCAGCCCTTTTTCAGTTTCAAGTGTCTAGTTATCCCAAAGGAATTTTTCGAACCTGCTTACCGGATATTTATTCCAGATGTTCTTCCATTCATTTGCAATGTTAGGCTAACTACAGAATTGATTTCATCACAATAATTAACTGTTTTAGCTGTAGTAGTCATAATGTCATTCTAAACCCATTCGATGAAATCAGAATGCACCAGGTAGAACACAATGACAACAAGGGACAAAAAATTGCATTCAAAGTTGAACACACCATCTAAAATAAGTGAAATATCTGTTACGAGCTATATTGAATTCTTTCTCGTATTTCAAGTTGTTTGTTCGCCTTGAAATCTATTCATGATTTTTTGATGAATAGTAAGTACTTTTGTCATCTGTATACATCTATTCGTCCGTCCGTTTTTGGTATATCCAGTGTATGTTCAAACCGATCGCTACATTCGTTATTGTCAATCGTTAATTCTCCACTGTTTGTATGCATTCAAATGCGACCGAAATGTTTGTGATAACCAACAAAGAACACTAGACAGTTGTTTGGTTAGCACAAACATTTCCATCGCATTTTAATGGAATCTGTCCCGAGGAGTGAAACCCACACCCAAGACCATCAAGGGTGCCTGGTACCTCTGAACAATCGAATGGGCTAATCTAAGCTTGATACTCTAAATTGATTGAGCCATTCGCACAAGATGACAACCGTCGGCCGTGTAGCTCAGGGGTAAGAATTTGAGGTCCCGACCCGACTGATCGCGGTTCGAGTCCTGAGAGGGACACAGAAAGTACGCACTGCTGACGAGTCCAAAAAGAGAACAAAACAGCTGTCCAGTGCTCTTTGTTGGTTATCACAAACATAAGTGACGGATCTTAATCCGTTACGTGATGCCATAAAGTGACTCTCTCAAACAGTCAGGGGCGCGTTAGAAACGGGTTACGATATGCCTATGGCGAGTGACCTGTCTAATTTCATCGGTGCTGCAGCAAGTACAAGTGCGATGATCGTTCATTCATTCACACGGGCACATGTACGTGACGGAATTTATCGATTGCTTGGGTCTGACCTCTTACTCCACACACCCGCTTACCAGTCAATCGCGTTTATCGTTCACCCGTTTGCACGTTAGTGCGTCAGAGCCCATCGATAGACCGAATAACCGCGGCTTTGGGGACCACTGTGCCAAAAACGATCACATTCGAGTGCCTCACAGAATTGCAAAAACAACCTGCCCAGGTTAAAAAGATGTATTTTTTTTAGCAAAAACCATAAATCATCGTTTGTCTCAGTTTGGCTATTCTTTGAAAATCAACAAAAGCGCTATCGGAATCAATCGTACACTCCCATAGTCGATCGAAATCCGAGCGTTATCCTGGGTAAACAACTTCAATTGATCCAGTAAATTTTGCGTCTCTCTAATAGAGATATCTTTGGGCGCTTTCAGTACTTCACTTATTCTTCGAGACCCTAATCTTGATTTGAAACGAGTTTATCCAATGACTGAAAACGAGCGTTAATACAAAAATTTTAAGTAACCCACTTCTTCATCAAATTTTAAACAAGCGATTTCTTCTTCAAAAGGCGTTCATCTTTAGACACATAGTGATTACAGTTTTCAGTTATCCTCTAGTGGCTGCGTCATCGGCTGATTCAATTAGTTAGAACCTAGCTTTTACGAATGCGTCGATCAGTACGTGCGGATGCTCAGAGCCCCGAGTTTTGTTGATCACATGAATTCCCATCAAAATGTCCTCTTCAGATTTCAGGCTAAGTTGCTCATCTTAGATCACAGACAAAACATATTCCAGTTAACATTTCCGAGAGGAACATTGGAAAGACCAAAGCACACCTTGATCCAGTGGTTGTATCAATGAAGGACAGTTCGGAGGGAGCTGTGCTAATTTGATACTGGAGAATACTGCCGGTTTGTTATGGTAGGGGGCGTTATCTATATATGGTATAGAGCGTCTTTGAGAAACCATCTTGCGACTGATACGGGACAGACAACAGTGAAGTGACGCAAAAGTAATCCATGCGGTCATAACTGCAGGTAAATTTTTTCTATCTACACCTCGGAAATCTCGTGGTGTTTGAAATTTTCCAACAACTAATGTTGATCACATTGTTGTCCAGTCCTGCTCCCGGAAGGCAGTAACGTGACCCCTTCTTTGGACTTCTTGGTTCTGGAAACTGTTTTTCCCCTTGAGACTTTATGTTACTTCTGGGAGCTGACTGTAATAGAAAGCTGTTTCATCTGCATTGAAATTATCACAGCTAGCATATCCATGGATCAGCTGCTGTAACCCTGCTCGAAACTCGTTCACTCCATCAGCTAGTAACGTCCAACTTTCCGCACAAACTTATAAAGTAATACACATCAGTAGTTGCTTGTCTCCTATCGTGTCGAATTGAATACCACAGCTGTCTGACCCAAGAGCTAAACGCACCGTTGGAAGCCTTGAAGTTACGATGATGCCGATTGAATTGTCTTCTCACAAACGATGCTCTCCACCATGGGGAACTCACCGTACGTTTCCCTCATGGCAGTAAATCAAGCCAAGATTGCCTCATTCGCTGCCTTGAACTTTTTGTTCGTTTTCAGGTGGTTTCTTTCCTGAGATGCTCCAGTGTTCACAAATGTTCTGATAGTCGTTTCATGGGATAACATTGTAAACAGTTTTTTTTTTTTGAAATACCAAGTGATTTGGCTATGGAGATCTAAGTTGCACCTGGCTGATTCAGCATTTCTAACACATTCTGATCGACAAGCGCTTGCACATTTTGAATTCAGATGACACTGTTCTCGATTGTTCGCATCGGTGTCTTCCTTATAAAGATTGCCCAATTCAGTAGACAGTGTCATGTTCAAGTCCCATCAGGTGAAACATCACCGGATGATTATGATATTACAGGATCGGTGGGTCAATGGCCGTCCCGAAAACCTGTCAACGACCAAGTGAGTAGGTATCCGGAACTGTGATATACTGAGGGAAGTGGAGGCGAGGGATGAATATGTAATCGGAAACTACGAGATTACGAATGCGATTGGTTTGGGTTTTCTAAAATGTGGAAAGATATTGAAAAAAAATGTGACTTCTCAGGGATGCGACATAGTAGAAGATTGAATGTAACGCTTTCAGAAATCTGCTATAGTGAGATCATCAACCAGACTCTACAGGCTTTGTATTACTATTTTCCGAGGTTTACTAAAAACGTTAGTATACGCAAGTCTGTTACCATTTATCAAAGAATAAATTCAGATGTTTAATAATGATATATACCCGGATACACCATCATTACACATTATAATAAAAACACAGTATCGAACAAGCTCATTTGCGATGATTCACCTACAGGCTAATAAATCAGAATTTCATGTGAGTAATGCAGGATTTGATTCAATTTCAAAGGTGAAATTCATCGTGTATATAGCAAATGAATTGTGAACTGAAAAGCTAAGAAGCGCAACTGGACAGCTGTTTCGACCTGGTTGGGTCTCATCCGTGCAGTGCGCGAATCCATCGACCTAACTGGGGATCGCGAACCCAGGACCTCACAGTCAGAACGTAAGCATGCTACCCGCTCGGCAGCCGACCAGACTGCGTTTTTTCATTTTCCATTTACACGATATATTTCAAACCATCTTTGCGAGCTTTTTGCGGGTCAAAGACCTCGTTCATATCAGCACTAACCTCCGGGTTATGACTCAGATGAATGCATTCATACAACCTGACTACTTGTTTCATGTGAGTAATAGGACATTTGATTTAATTTCATTTGCTACATACACGACGAATTTCCCTTTTAAAGTCCGAAAATAGGATAAGAAATGATCAACATTCCAGCTCCATCACCGGATTTGTTTCACACTAGTCGTCACATATGCG